ATGAGTTTCTCAAATTATTTTAGTAGGATTATTATTATTATTATGGTTAGTACAGATTTAGTCAAATTAGGGTTATTATTAGGATTTTCTCGTATTTCCCTATAAATATGTACTTTGGGTTTACGTCACAATCAATCAAGAAAAGTATTAAGCAAAGCATCTCTCCTAAATCTAATCTCTCTCAACTACTAATTTCTATTCTCTCTTAATCCAAGGCCTCAGCCGATTCTTGATTCTATTATGTTCTTCTCATCTAAATCCCTAATTCTTTCTCTCAACCCCTAAATCCCTATTTATTACGTGTAATCGCGGGTGCCAAAGGTTAGTCCATAGAATCCCTAGAAGAGGGATTCTTTCACTGGTATCATAGCCTGGTTGCAGACACTCGTACCATGGTTACGACCAACGTCGAGCTCTCAAAAAGAGAATTCACAAGGATTTTGAAGTTGAAACAAGAAGAGGAGATGAGGAACGAGGTTAGACCGCCCTTGTCGCTGTCCAGGAACTTCGCGCGGGCTGCCCCATCCAAAGCCGCCGCGTCGAAGGAGTTAGAATCAGCCGAGCAACAACTCCCCGCCGACACAACCTTAAAGCTGCTAAACCAGAAGGAGGATTTGAAAAGGGTTACTATTGTGCCACTCGACGTGCCGTAGTCGAAGAAATTCGTAGGGACTAAGGAGCCTCCACTGTCGAGCGCAGCTCCAACCCTCCTTGTGCTGCCAACTGTTATGGTGAAGGCGACACAGATGCAGAAAGAGACAGAGATGCTCGCCGGAAATACAGGTCCCTTTCGCCACAATTTTCCCAGTTGCAACCGAGTATTGGATCCCCTGGAGCAAGGAAGGGAGAAAGTAACATCTACAATCATTCATCTCTATTGGTACGTATCGACCCAGGCGGAACGAGCTTCAAACCCATAGTTATGGATGAGGCCTCAAACGAACCTGAACGAGGCAGTAGTGGGGTGTTCAAGATAGACAAAGAGCATGATACGGAGCTGGGGGTGAGGGAAGAGACGAAGCATGAGCGACTCGGAGGCGCGAGCGAAGTTAAGACATGAATTTGGTGCACCTCCGAGCTGTCGTGTGTACATTTTGTCGCCGGTGCTTGCTGCGCCACGTCACAAGACAAAGGAGAAGAAGGGTGACGGTGACTGCTGCGTACCAACAACTGACGACGTGCTCAGGCAAGAGACGATGAGCTCCAGATCGGGTCTATTTCCTTGCCGCCAGATTGGTTGTTCTCTGTTAGAGAAAGAAGAGCAGGAATCGCCGGAGGAGAAGGTCCGTCGTAGTTCTTCGCCGTCGGCACGAATCTCACAGGGGAGTCACGATCGGAGATCATTCCAGCCACGAAGACGAGGGACGAACCGCCGGAGAAGAAAGCTAAGGATTTGCTGGGGAAGAAGATGCCGGAGGTGAAGGGCGCTGGCAGTGGTGCTCCTTCCACGTGCGAGCAGCTGGTCTTCTGTCCCTTCCAAGAGTTGCAACCCTAAAACCTAGTTGGGACAGAGTCTGCAGAGCTTGGGCCCATCAGTCTTGGTCATGGACTAGCAAAGGAGAAGGATGTGAGAAGGTATGTAAAGGAATAAGAAGGTTTGGTGGACTTACAGAGGAGACAAGCCCAAACGAAGTTAGGAGTAAGAAGAGGCCTTACTTGTGTTTGGGCCACAACTTATCTTCTAAGCCAATTTGGGCCGACCCAAGGGAGCGGGAAATGAAGGTTGGGAAATGTTATGGGTTGTTTTCACAATCAAATTCATGGAGGAATATATGGAACATTTTCTTGAAGACCTCGAGCTAGAGAATAATGAAGAACAATTCTCTAATTCTTATTTTGTGAAATTCGAAGAAGAATTGTTTGGCTATGGAGGACGTGATACTTGTCACGTGGGTGGAGAAGAGTTGAGGAAAGTGGGAGTTGCGCGAGAAGAGTTCATTTGTGGGATCGAGCGCAATTGAAAATGAAGAAAGCAGAAGGTAGAGAAGAGTCAACTGCAACCTTGAGGGCAAGGTTGCTTTTCAAGAGGGGTGGATTGTTAGAAACCCGCCTATTATGGGTTTCTCTAATTATTTTAGTATTATGGTTACTAGAGATTTAGTCGAATTAGAGCTATTATTAAGATTTCTCGTATTTTCCATATAAATATATACTTTGGGTTTATGTCATAATCAATCAAGAAAATATTAAACAAAGTATCTCTTCTAAACCTAATCTCTCTCAACTCCTAATTTCGATTCTCTCTTAATCCAAGGTCTCGACCGATTCTTGATTCTTTTATGTTCTTCTCATCTAAATCCCTAATTATTTCTCTCAACCCCTAAATCCCTATTTATTATGTGTAATTGCGGGTCCCAAAATCAGTCACTAGAATCCCTAGAAGATGGGTTATTTCAGCAGCTACCGATAAATGCATGTTTGGTCCATAGTTCATAATTCTAATTGACGTATTCCATGATGGAGCGATCACATTGCTCCAAACAAGCTAAGTGCTAACTGTATTTCAAATTGATATGCAGTATTTACCGTCGAATATGCAAAAGTCAGATGTCTCCATATTTGGTTTGTAGCCGGGAAATAAGCAGAGACTTAAACAAGTCGATGGATCCAAAGAACCCAACAACTAGGAACGTACCCTTGTGTCATTTTGTTCCACGTCGGGATTTCCTTAGCAGAGGGCAGGTTCCACCGGTTTGGAGAGGTGTCAACGAGTACACCAAGGAGGCCTCTTCCTAACACGAATACTCTGTACTAAAATTCCCATAGGTAAAACATTCATTGAGTTTAAACAAACTGAAGGTCTCTCAAATTCCGTTGATGCATGCCTGCTCTGATACCATGTTTATCAATCACATATTAATCGAAAAACCAAACAAACAACCAATATGATTTTCGTGGTATCCCTATAATGCTAGGACTAATCCTCGAAGATTGTGTATTTGATCATTGTGATAGTCTATTGTTATACTCTTATATACAAAACAGCAAGAAAGAAGACAGCAAGCACGTTGAACCTTAGGAAATGACTCTAGGGCGCCATTACTCCTTGTAAGGACTGCATGGACCTATAAAAATTGGGCTAGCAAGCTACTGTCTACGTGTGGACTGTAGACGTCTTCTACAAATTAAAGTATGTATCGTTTAACAAATCTTCCCCAAATTAAAGTATGTATCGTTTAACAAATCTTCCCCAAATTCTCCCCGATTCTCATTTTCAATCCATAATTTGGTGTCAAATATCTTCCCATCCCCCCCCCCCCCCCCCCAAAGAAGGGACGAGTTTAGCTGCTAACTGCATCGTTTGTTAGCTAACCATGTTTATAACCATTAGATGTAAAATTAATCTGATGGTTTAAATTTATTAAAGGCTAATTTGGTCAAAACTTATATCAAACCCTAATATATATCCATCCAACCTTACCATAATTCTTCAGCCGCCACTTTTTCCACAACCTCTCTCTCATAAACTTCCCTTGCTAGCTCGTGCGTCGGTCTGCGTCTCTCTATTTCCACTTCTCCACAAACTCGTTGTTGTTTCTTTTTCCATCATATGCACCGTCGTTGAAACCAGGGGCGGAGCCAGGATTTGATCGTCGGGGGGCCGAAGTTCCTAATCTATAAGCACGAAAAGACGTTAAAATTAATTAAAATAATGATAAAAAAATAATTGTAATAATATTATAACGGTACTTTTTAAAAATAATAATTAAAGTAACTAATTACGAGATCTAAAGTAAAAATTTCTAACATGATAAATTCAAAATATATTAAGAATATATATTAAGATAAAAAATCAATTAAAATGTAATTCAATGTAGTATAACACGTTACATTTTCACTCAAAATAAAATATACACTAATACCATGACATGTTTAATATAAAAATAGAAAATAAACAAACTAATTAATTATTATGTAACTCATTCTTTTTTCATAATTGAAAAATAAATAGCTAAGAAAACTATTTAATAAAAGGAAACTGTTTAAACGTTACGAGTATCTCGATATTTTCGTATAAACTAAATAATAATTAAACGTTACGAGTATCTCGATATTTTCGTATTTTGGTGAGGTCAGTTGAGGTTTGTCGTGGAAAGACGAAAGGGCGCAGTGGAAGTTGGGAAAGAGGAAGCTGTTCGGCGCGGCATGATGTGGTGGAGCGGGCAAAGTTGCTGGGATAGCGGCAATGACCTTGGCTTTTTAGGTTTTTTTTATCTGTATTATAGTATGTGTTAGTAGTGATTTGTATGTAGTAGTTATGTAATAGTAGTAGTGATTCTTGTAATAATATGTAGTGATTTTTATACGTTATTAGTAGTGTTTTGCATAGTTATAATAATATTTTTCATTTGTAGTGGTTTTTTTATAATATTTTTAGCGATTCTTGCTAATTAAAATTTGCTAAAACGCTATTAGTTTCATGAAAATAACTACTAAACTTATAAAAACACTACTACCAGGCACCAAAACTACTACTAAACTTATAAAACCACACCTTCCTTCGGTTGCGGTTGCCGTTTCGATGCCGTCTTCGGCTGCGGTTAACCGCAGGTGTGGTTCGGTTAAAACCGAAACCGCACCGCTAACAGGCCTACATACACATATATAGCTATGGAAGCGTTGAGAATGACAAGAGATAGCTCATTCTAAATAATTCATGCTCCAAAACCTCGCATTCACACAGATACTAAAATCTATTCATTTCAATCATCCATGATTCGTACAACCGACATCAACAAGTAAATATAGGTTCAAGTAATTAGTGTGCAATTGATACTTGTTTCAGAAGACACCCCTGCCTTGAAGGAAGTAAACCATAATGAACCCACATTGTCTCATAAATTGGCACACACTTCATTTCCTTACCTCTGAGAAGGCAACCACGCTCCTCAAACCTAAGGACAACACAATGGCATGGAAAGGAAACACTTCAGTGAACGCAAACAATCAGCTGTCTTTAGCAAAACCAGTAGGCAAATTGAACCGTCAGGACCCCTATCCTATTCTTCAGCAACAACACTGATTTCACCCTTTTCTAGCATGTCGTAGAACGCTCTTACTTTCCTCTGCTCATTCCAGTGATGCATCTTCCAAAAGCCACCTGCGACCAAGCCGAGCGCCATCCCAATGACTATCTCCTTCACAACACTCGGCCCCTTCAAAGTGGGATGTGGAATCCTGCCATCCATCTTCCCTTTTTTTTTTTCTCTGCAAACAATCAACATGCCCCCTTGCTTTGTCAGCCACTACTCCACGAAAACAAATTTAAGATTTCTACCTACATTATCCAATCTACCTAGCATACGAAACTTCCGGTACAACCAGTACAAGCAAGAGCAGATAGTACAAAAATTGAAGCTTGCTGCCCATCTAATGAACCTACCAGTCCGGCTAAACGAAAATCTACACAGACAGTACAAGCAAAAGCACAATAATGATAAAGAAATTCAGGCTCTTTTACCTATCTAATCTACCCGCGAAAATCAATCCAACTAACCCAATTCCTATATGTTTGAGCCACAATACCCTCTTCACTATTCGGACGTCCTTTTCGCCTGGCGTCAACCTACACACACAAAGAGGAGGGCGCCGCGGCCCGTTAATCCTCCGACGCCCAAATCAGTTTCCAAGAGAGAGTAGAGTCCTCAAGTAGTATTTTTATGAGAGAGAGTCCAACCTGCATAAATGCTATCAACTGCTCCTATTTATACTCACCGAACCCGAGGTTGATCTCCTCCACGTCACCATCCTCATTTAATGCTCTGTGTCCCCTCTGTGAGACAACCAACTGCCTTGTCAGGCTCCTGACACATGACAGGCACCCAACTGCTTTGCCAGGCTCCTGACACCTGACAGGCGCCCGCAGGCAGTGGTCCACCGGACAACTGGCCGCAACTTGGCTTTTGGTGTTTCATTCTTTGGGCCCTTTCCCTCGTCCGGGCCCGAGGGCCTCTAGTGGATTCCTTCTTTTCGGGCCTTGCCCCCCAGCTCTCTTTCCTTGGGAGCCCAAACTCCTAGCTGCTGGGTAATACCCCCAACAATTGCCCCCCCAGTTAGGTGCTCGTGGCTCCGCCTTCAAGCGCCTGACTGAACCTCTAGTTGTAGTCTGGCATCCTCTTTGTTATAGGGCGCTTGCTTCTCGGCGCCTGCACCGTGTTTTCACTTCCTTCCTGGTTCGGAGGGGTGCGTTTGCTTCTCCCCTTTCGCTGGCGGGCGTCACACCTTTGGCGGTGCTCCTTGCCGTATGCTCTTCTATGTGCTCCTACGCTTCTTGCCAAATGGGGCGCCTTTTCCCACTACCCCTCACTTTCGGGCGTCCGATCCTCGCCTAGGCTCACTGCTTCGTGTGCTCTCTTTCTGCGATCCTTTTTTGTAGGCGCCTCCTCGCGGTGTCCTCCTCGACATGTGTCCCTATCCCCTATGCCCCCCTCACCCACGCTTTGCTTGCCGGGGAAATTTGGAATGTCGAATTTAATTTTTTTTTTTTTTAAAAGAAAATTCGAAATTTGGAGTTGAGAAATTTCCCCAAAAAGGAAAGGGTGGGGGAAGCTCAAGGGTCCGCTCGAGGTCTTGTGGCTCGCGAAAAGACCAAAAGGTGGGGGGAGCGGAAGGGTTTATTCGGGATGATTGACACGTGTCACGCAGCGAGGAGGTTTGGTGGGGCATCGGTTTTTCTTTAAATACCCCTCCCCCCTTGCGATGCTGTCACTTTCTTCCATTTGACTTCTCTCTAGGATTTTGCTTTGACCTCTCTCTAGATTCCGCTCTGACCTCTGTCCTCTTTCCTGTCAGTCTTCACTTCCGACAAAGCGCTTCCGTCCAAAATGTCTTCCCCACAACAAGACAAGTCTTCAGGACACGGCGCCTCGGGAGCGGGCGCACCTGGTGCGGGTGCTTCGGGAGCGGGCGCCTCGGGCGCGGGTAGTGACACAAGGCGCCCAGTTCAACGCGGTAAGTGTTCCTTTTTCCTTCGTTAGTTTCGTTGAGTTTATTCTAGTCACCTAGGGTAGGGGCGTCACTTACCCCGTGTCCGCGTTGCGTCTGGGTCATTTGTTGGTTTAGAGCGGGCGCCTGCTTCAGCATCTGGTGGACCGTCATCGTCTGCTGGGCCGTCGAGTTCTTCGGCGCCTGGTTTCTTGCCTGCCGATGGGTCCTACAAGATCACCTCATGGGAGAAGTGTTTTCCTCCCGATCATCTTCCCACCGAGACGTCTCACCTACCCTTCGAGGTGGCCGGGCCGAAACACACGTCGACTGTCACTTTGGGCCGGGTTCAAGAGTTGGTGACCAACCTCCAGCTTCCGAGAGATTGGTGGTATGCGCCCCCATCGCCTTTGTCCCGGGTAGGCGTCTGTGGCCCGAAGTGGATCGGGATTTATCAAGAATACTTCCGCTTCGGGCTACAGTTTCCCCTTGACTCGATCATGGAGGGAATCCTGACGACCTGCGCCTGCCCCCTCGGGCGCCTATCTCCCTCAGTTATCACGGTCGTCATTCTGTTCAAGTTGAGGTGCCGGTAGCATAACGTGGAGCCCACCTTCAACTTGTTCATATATTTCTTCAAGATGGTGCCTCTTGACAATTGCTTGTCCCTCCAGAAACGAAAGAAGCGCCCCTATCATTTTGTGAAGAAGTGTCCCAAGTTGAACCGAAGCTGGTTCAACGGCTTTTTCTTTGGGAAGGCCTATCGAGACTCCTTTTTTGCAAGTGGGGGCGCCTTTGTTAGGAAATGGGAGTTGGGTCAGGTCGAGGCCTTTAACGCGCCGGTGGTTTTGACGGCGTCTGAAAAGGCCGGCGCCCCCTTAATTTGCGAGGAGGAACCCGTGGACTTACGCCTCGCAGAAAACCGCCCGCCCATTATTGAGGCTTACTATAACGATGGTGTGTAGGCGTCTAGGTGTTCTATTTCCTTACTCCCTTGTCTGTGTTATGGACTAACTTATTTTCGTCATATGCAGGGGCTGATTACTCGAGCATCGCCAAGCTGATCAAGAGTCGGCTGGCTACTATGGCGGCGGAGGCGGCCACGGCGGCGGCTGCGCAACAAGGGGCGCCTACTCAACAAGAGGCGCCCGTCCAACAGGAAGCGCCTGCCACTCAATCACGGGCGCCAGCGTTTGGCCCCAAAAGAAGAAGAAGAGGGCGGTGAAGGGTGGCACCGCTCGTGCGCATACCGCGAGCGTGGCATCGTCCGCTCCGGCGGAAGGCGAGGGGGCGCCTAACTCCGACCCCGCGGAGCAGGAGGTCAACTCCGCGGAAGAAGAGGAGGAGGAGGAGCCTTTGCTCCGAAAGGGGAAGAGGGCTGGTTCCCCCTTAGTCTCGGCCAGCAAAAGGGCCGATAGGGGAAAGAAGAAGGTGGGCGCCGACGATGACGCCTGCGACGAGGTGGAGGAGGAGGCGGGGGAGGACGCCCGTCTACACCTCAACGAAGAGGGGCGCTACGTTGGCCCCGACGGGCGCCCGCCAATCTTCAGGCCACGGCGGGCCGATGTGGGGCGTGTAAATATGAACTGCTCCCCGTTGGTCGCCGTTGACCGAGGGTGCACCATGGGCTTGGCCATTGCGGCTTCCAAGTCGTGGCAGGTGCCATCCGAGGTGAACGGGGATCACCTTTTTGCTGAGCTAGCCCAAGTGGGCGCCAAGGTACGTGCTTTTTTACTTGTGCTTTCTGGAAGTTTAGGGAATGGTTTGGTGTTTGCATACTTGCTGATTTCTTACTCACTGTTGCAGATCCTTCTCTTTGCTGAAAGAGGCGCCCGTCGCCTCAACGAGACCAAACGGGAGGCACTCGAGGCGTCCACTTCTGCCTCACAGCTGCAGCTGGACTTGGAGAACGCAACTGCTCGACGTGAGCAGCTTGCAAAAGAGTGCGAGGACGCCCAGCTGACTGCGACCATGGAGCTGTCGCGGCTCCAGGGCACCCTGGACGAGGAACGCAGGAAGTTGGCCGACCTGCAAGTTGAGAAGGAGGCGCTGGCGCAGGAAGCCGGTGCCCAGGCCAGTGAGATTGACATCCTCAAGGAGGAGAAGAAGAGGCTACAGGACGCCCACAAGGAGACCAAGAAATCCTTGAAGGAGGCCCGGAAAGAAATTTCCGGATTGCGGCACTCTTTGGACAACTTCGAGGAGTCAGAGACTGGGAAGGCCATTTGCGCCAACGCCATTCTGACCGGCATTGAGATCCTGCGGGTGAAGTTCCAGAAGGACCACCCCGACCTTACTTGGGATCTCTCGGAGATGGCTGAGTACGTGATCGGTGGGATGGAGACGCCTCGCGGAACAAGCGGGGCGCCCGAGCCATCTGCTCCTACCCCTCTTTCTCCAAGGGCGCCTAGTGCTGGAGACGCGAACTCGGGCGCTGATTAGATTAGCGGGCCTCTTGCTTTAAATTTTCTTTTATGCTAGTCGCTCTTATTTGTATTTGACTTTCTTAACTTTCGCACATTTATAATATGAAAACGTATGTTTCATGCCTATCGCCTTCATGCCTTAGTCTGTTTTTTACGTGGGGAAATGAGGCCATTTTGTGTTTTTGGGCGCGAAATGGGGCGCATTTCTCGTGAGGGCGCAATGTTAGGGCGCTTTTGCAAAAGATGGGCGCGGAATGTGGCGCTTTACTCTACTCAGTGTTGCCGGGCGCTATTTTGGGGCGCTTTTGTGTCACACGAATTTCTTTAAACTGAACACGTCACTATTAGGGCGCTATAGAAAGGGCGCTTTGGTAACAATACGGCGCTATTTTTTCGGGCGCTTTGGTCACAACACAAACATACCTACATACTTGTCTTAACGCAAAACAAACACTTTCCTTCTGTCGCCTTTCTCAAATCGAGGCATCGTCTTCAGATGCGGCGCCCGCCAAGTAAGATCGCAGGTTTTGCGCATTCCATGTTCTTTTCACCACACGGCCGTCCATATGTTCTAACTTAAACGTACTGGGTCCCACCATTTCCCGAACTCGATATGGGCCCTTCCATTTTGGTGCCAGCTTCCCTTCGCGGGCGTCGGGGCGGAAGTCTCGTTTAAGGACGAGGGCACCTTCTGTGATCCCATGGGCACGCATCTTTTTGTTGTAGTACCGAGCCACCTGCCTCTTCATTTTTTCTAGGCGGATCGCCGCTACTTCCCTCACCTCGTCCACCATGTCTAAGTCATTTGAGCGCGCCTCTTCATTGCCATTTGGATCGTA